TCTTTCGTTTTCAAAAATTTAACGTAAATTTGTTAACACTAGGACAACATTTAAAATATAATAATCGTGCTAAAGAAATCAAAGTGCAAGAAATGGGAAATAGTATTTTAAAACAAAAAACATTAAAATAGAATTAAAAGTAAAAAAATGGTACTTTAGAAAAAGATCATTAAAATCTCTAAAAATACATTGTTGTAACACAATAAAATTATTGATCATTTTGGTAGTTCCAAGAATAAAGATTTCCTCAAAAAGTCTTGTTTGGAAAATGTCAAAGTATGATCAAATAATTTTCAATCGATTACTCTCGCCGCAGGTAATATTCAACTACGTAATTAAGTATACAAGGTTAAATCGGTCGTAAAATACAGTATCAGCGTTACTCTACGATAAGTTGTTTAATTTCTTTCAAGCATTTCTTACTAAAGACTTTCACGTCAGCACGGCGATTATCTTTCTATGAAAAATTTACTTTCCTTTCCACTGTCAGTTTCTGCGAAGAACACGTCGCGGAAATACAGTTTCTTCGTGTCCTTGTTACATGGGTAATTAATCATCGATAATGCGACTACTAATTACGAAACACAGCAGCTAAGTAAAAGAAACGAGAAAAACGCTTTGAAACTACGACTGCTAGAATAGGGACATGAATATGCAAGTAGATACATAGGCTATGATTAGGATTTTTATCCGCTTTTGAAAAACCCGGCGTTGCAAAAACGGGCATAATTACAAATAACGTGGAAAAGTATGTGAAATATTCAATAGGTTAATTGGTTATTTAATAAGTAATACAACTTTCATAACTTGCAAATTAATTAACAATTTAGTACAAATTAAAAGTTAATTATTTCTATCTAAATCTTTTCATTTCAATCATCTTTACAAAAATATAAAATTAGATATGATAGCTCGAAGTCATGGTCGTTTCATTTATAGATTTGAAGAAAATGTGTGTGGACGACAGTAAAAAATTTTCTCCAACGTGACGATCGTCGGCGTAACCCCGATCGAGGAAATCATTGTACGATCGTTCCGCGTACGGTGATAGTGACGTCATTTGTAAACGTTTATGCACAAGTGTTAATCGTCGTTAATAAGAAACGAACGTTGACCCAGTGTAACTAGCGTGTATCTGTTGTATCAAAAACTGTGTCAATTAGGCGCGTTACGTCAACTTCTGACTGTACTCTCCCTGGAAAGTTTAATAATGTAACGACATGATATCAACGCGACAAATTGATCGACGGTTTCGGTCAATTCGGGAGCAATTTGCCTGCTGAATATGAGGAGATATGATAATGCGGAAGATACAGTTGCTCACAAAAGTGTTCAAACACTTGCAGGAACATTTTACGAACAATTATTATCACCATATTGATCAAGTTTCAAATAAATTCAAAAATTTAACTGACAAAGATCAATTTAATTAGATATCAACTAAATTCCAATTCTTACTCTAAATGTATAGTAATAAATAAATATATAGTATTATACATTATAAATATATAGTATAATTATATATTATAAATATATAGTATATATAGTATTACTTATTCTAATAAATATATAGTTTAACTGTATTTGTAGATATCTTTTAGGAATATACGAAACGTTCTGAAATTCTATTAATATTGTGATAGAACTAAAATTATTACGATTATACTGGCCGATGTTGAAACAAATCTAAAAATATTAAAAGATATTTAACACAACATAATTTATGTGAAACTACATAATAGTTATTATATGTTTAAGATGATTATTTATTATTATTATAAGATGTAGTGTAATCTTTTAGAAAATGCATGTCTGCAATACCTTCTCTACATATATTTTCAGATTGGTTTCGTAATAGTCATCTCTTATTACAGTGTTAATGAAATACAGTTTTAGTCTAGAAAACATTCGAATACTTTCATGAGTCACCGTACCTGCAATATAAAAATATAAAGAACTTACGTTTCTGTATAGCTGAAATTCTCAGTAATCATTCACAATTACTACCAAGTATCTATTAATTTTCTATGAGAGGAGTAAGAATTTCAAGAAAGTCATTAAAATATTTATTTAATGGTTACACTTTCCGTGCGAGAGTAAGAGAATTTGTCAGAATTGAACAAGAGTCAGAAAATGTTCTGCGACCTCTTAAAAAATCTTCCTCGAAAATACTTTTTGCTCTGTCGGTCAGCTATGTTAACGATCTCTCGGTAGATTGAACTGGCTTTTGCTCCGAGATCGTAAAGCTGTCTGCTCTCATAACCGGTGCTGGTGACACCTCTTGTAGCTTTTACTTCGTGATGAAATAAGCTGTCTGAGGAGAAGAAAGCGGGAGTTTCGAATTTTACGACGCCGGGAATGGAGACTCTCGCTGCATATATAGATTCGTTGTGTACATTCGTTGTTCCTCTCGTACGTGTATGTGCAGTTTCGAATTAGGAGCTTCGTGATACTTTTGTCATAAAAATCTAACTTTATTTTATGCGTCATACTCGTTTATATTCGTTTTGTCTGCACGGAATTTACGAAAACTTATATTTGCAAAATTAGATGCAAAGTTCTTAGTACATATTAATTTACGTATGTATAATATGTACAAGTGTTAATAAAAATATCGTGATGAATATTCTGTATTTTATTCTTCGATCTCATGTCGTTTTATTGCCTAATAAAATATATTAATTTAGAACTAATTAATTTAATTTTAGAACTAATTTTTCTTACGTTTTCAATGAATATCAATTATCAGTAATGATAATAATGATTGATAACAGACGAATGTCATAACCAAAAAATCAATTTTTCGCCGTCAACAACAGTTATCGGTAACCAAAGTAAAATTCCCATCATCGAGAATTATCTTTTAGTCAATTATAATGAATTAATCGATTAATTTAAAATATTAATCTTTAAACACATACAACGTTCTGTATCATTAATTTTAAATCTATGATTTAGAAAAAAATTGTGCATTTATTTATAACAGTTATGATGTTTGTTTTAACATATACTTCTGATATTTCACTTTCGGATCTACTATCGAGATTCCACATGGCTAGCATTTTTCACTGCTGCAAAAGGAAATACATCCCTTTCGAGCTTTTTAAAATTTCGCCGCGTACACGACCTTCCAATTTTCTCTTCTCAAAATTCAAATAAGATTCTTGAAACGTGCGTGATCTCACGAATTCCACGAAGGTGATGTACGTTGGTATATCTTTAGTGTACAACTTCAATGTGTATGTTGAAACCCACGTAATAGACAAAATGAATAATTTTTCTTCTTTATTTACACTTTGGAAACTTTATTTGCGGTTTTTATTACAGCTATATGCGTAGAACCAACTAAAATAACAGAGGAAATGAGAATATAAACTTTATACATTAAGGTTACAGTCTTTAAGGAAAGTGTAGACGCATTAGCAGGCAATAGCATCTTCAATTGAAGATTTTAAAATGAAAAGGTATTTGCATAGCAAATACTGTTAATGAGACTACACATATGGTATTTTTGTAATAATTTATCAATGAAATGTAATAAGGTAAAATGAAATTTTCAAAACGTGAATACATGGATATGTAACTTTTAAGTTACATGATGTTACAGATGGCCAACGTGTATTTTGTTATACGTTCACATTGCGTCGTGTGAAAATCGATAACGAGAGATAAAAAAATAACAAATTACTTAACACTTTGAGGCATACAATTTTAAAACAGAAAGTGGATCCCGCTTTTTGGTGTTGATTAAAAATGTGACAGTTTTATTTAATTATTTGAAAAAGTTTCACGATTTAAAGATAGCAATGCTTGTGAAATCGTGAAACCAAACGATATGAAATCATGCATGAATTCATGTTTAAACACTTGAAATATAGCACAACTTTTTCATACCACCACGCCGCAGATTTAAGAATATCTGTTATCTCGACTTCAGCGCGTAAAAGCTATTCTCTGCCATTGTGGATTTAACAGTGAGTTTTTTCAAAGCCGCGTCGTCGCTTCCGCGATCATCTTATGCCAAGTATCACCGATACGGGGAGACAGTAACGGGTGACCAGCGGAGAACAAATTGACATGCGGCTGGTTGCCCTGCATAACTGTGGCGTCCGCGGCCGCAGCATTCTTCCAACGGATTATCATTATCGGCCTTCGTGATACTCAATGAATATCCAATGACTCGATGTTACGTGGTAACCCGGTGTGCTGGTGTATACCCACGCGAACGATCCGTACGTGATCGTCTTGCAACGTTCCATCGATCGTCGTGACTTTTCATCCGTGATCGAAACCGAAGAAATTACCATTCGGTTAATCGTCCACCGATCCCTGATGAATCGGTCACGATCGTCGAAAACGAAAGTCGTGTCGAGATTTACGACGATATCGGACGCTCTTGCTAGTAGTTTCAGAATATACATTCGTTATTTGGCTGTATTTTATGCACTTTTACACAAGATGTTATACTGAAAAGGAGATAACTGTACGTGGAAAGCAAGTTAAAAAGAAAGAATAAATTTTGTTCACTTACTCACGAGTTTGTAAATTTGTTTATACAGGTATAGAATTTGGTGAATGTTCAAGTGTTCAATATCAAATGCTCGTAGATTCGAATAATAGTAATGGTAGAAACATAACGTGTTTAGGTCACGGTGAGCTGACTAGAATTTAATTCGCTTCAAAACAGGAGGACCGTTTCTGAATACATTCTTGACGATTCGATATTTATCAAACAAAAATATGATTCGATTTATTTTAAAACAAAAGTAAGATTCGATGTTTTGACTCTAATTCAACTAGGATGTACATTTTTAATGAATTGTGACTCGATACTTTGATTGTAACTAAAACTGTAAGACCGGCAAGGCAAAACTTACTAATCGGTTGAAACGGTCTCGTTTGTTTTATCTCCATTCTGACCTAAACCTGCTCGTTTTTACCCCAAGTGCCCTAATTGCTAGGTTTTCGAGATTCGAGATAGCAAATCTTCAGAGACTTACGTATGCATGGAGTTGAACAAAAGCGTCGTATTACATTCATTCTTGAATCGTCTCTTCCTCTCAACGATCGGGAAACGTTTCATGTATCCGCGGATGTTTCGCAGCGAGTTTTCGAGAAATCGTTTCATCATCGCGGCGAGAAGTCGAGGCTCGTTCGTCTTCGACGAACATCGACGGAAGACTGGAATGCGTGCGCGAATTGCTCTTCGAGAATCCGATAGAACAACGAGCGTAGGTATTTAATAAACGGCTGGCAGTGACGAAAAGACGTGGGCGAAAGTTTTGGCGACGGTTCTTTCATCGTCGTCATATACTGTCCACCAACCGATGTCCCGCATTGAGTCACACTCGCGCGAAAAGGAAAGTGATCGAAATTGTTTTCGATCGAGAATCGTTTCGTAGGAAATTTGTACGAACTTCCGAAAGTTTGTACAAATGCACGAAATATCTGCGAGTGTGTGTTTGAAATTTACTTGCTCGCTTCAAGTATTCATTGTTTTTAAATCGTTACGTCCATAATTATTAACCTTCGATAAGCAAGTTATCGCATTGCCCATAAAAAAGATTGAGGAGCTCGTGTCCACAATTTTTTTTTTTTTATTCCAAGCTTCGAAAAAAATGTAAAAAAAATTTGGATCACTTAATGAGATCTTTATTACATTATGCAATCAGTTTCTCAGTCAAATCTTTAAGAGATTTTTCAGGAAGATTAAAAATTTACAATAGTAATCAGGAAGTAAACGAGCCAAATTGTCTGTAGAAAATTCAAAAATAAAATTCGAACTTGTATTTAGAAAATAATATTGCAACAAATGGAAGACTCTTAAGAATGTAAGTTAAATGCGAGTAAAGTTAGAAGAAAATCCAACAAAAAGTATATCTGTACATTATGCTTATCTGAGATCATAAAAACATCTGATATATCTAATCAAGGTACAATTTAAAACATTAGTCTTAAGTCTCATGGCGAATAGTAATTTTGTGAATTTTTTAAATATGAAACATGAATAGCAAGGAACATGATTATATGAAGAAGGAAAATCTTACTTAAATAGAAGCAAGTCGACCATGTTATAGAAATAAATAGAAACAGTTCGTTACGCAAGATTTAAGAAACCAAAAAAAAAATGAGGAAAGTATCACACGATGTACCGTTTAGTTTCATAATTCAACAGAATTCACACACGTACATATATCCATCGTTCTAGAATCATCATTTCAAGCTTGAAACAGTGTCGGAGGAATATTCTACGGAAAAATATATGGCACTCGAAGCGATAAAACCGAGACATGCGTCAGCGTGCAAATCGTGCGAATTGTTTCTACGGCTTGTTTGGAACGGGCTGATATCGTGCTCGTGCAAGCAAATATTTGCGTACCTTCGCGTACCATAAGTCTTCTCATAACAGTATGTAATCTTACGCATATAATATGGAAATAAGTGCATAGAAACTGCGTAGGCGTTCAAATGCAAAACAAAATATTTTTCGCTTTCCTGAGCAAAATTTCTTAACCATTTGTCTTACGATTTTCTTTTCAATTTATTCTTTTTTTTTTTTTTTGGTAAGAATTAGTTATTATAATTTTCTATGTCGCGTTTGATTAGTATCTACATACAAAATACGTCGCTTTTTCAAATCAAATTTTGATAATAATTTCTTTGCAATATTATGTATTATATGTATTCAAGACAATTTCTGTATGATTTAATCCATTTTTCTATCGACTGTCTTACTTCATTATTCTAGATTTACACAAATTATTAATTCCAGAATTGAGAAATTTACGGAATAAAATTGTTACAGATTGTTTCTCGATAATTGGCACATCATAGAATTATTTAGATGAAATGGAAGAAGTTTTCAACTTCATTTTTCTTCATATAAGAAAATTAAACGAAAAATGACTTATATATACACATATTTTTTTTATTACGTAATTTATAGCAAATCTATTTTCTAACGTGAGTGGTAATTGAAAATGAGATCAAATTTAAGAAATGGCATTGGCTCGTCAAATTGGCACGCACATTTCACATGCATTGCACCTATCACAATATTCAATAAAAATTTGCAATTTAAAATTTGAATTCGAATTTTATACAGCTATAATTTTTCCTTTATTCACAATTCACACCACGAATGTGACTCAATGTTATCGGACCAAGGGGGTTGAAACGAAGAATCCTCGTGCAATAAAGTTAAAAGATACTAATTGGATTTTAAAAACAACTCTTTCATAACGAAGCGAACAGATGTAATGATAAATAATTAGGTTTTTATAAGACGCGACGCGTTAAGTGTGAAAGACTCTGGAAAAGGTTAAGATACGGAAGAATGCGACCTTGGAGGTCGTTCAGACCAACTGTATTTGAACAAGTATTATCAGCGAACGAATCCACCTAACGAGCTCGTAAACGTAGCAAACGAGCTTTTTATTAGAACGTAGAAACATTTTGCTGGAACTTGCTTCCCGACTTTATCCGACGAATTACGTAAGATAACAACGTGCCACTATAAATCCATATCCCAACTTTTACTAGAATATGTTGTTCAACTCTTAAATATCATAGACGTTGAAATTTACGTGCAATTTAATATTTTTATAAAAGAAAGCCTAAGTAGAAATTTGCTTTCACTGCTAACTAACAAACGTGTTCTACCTTCGATATTTTATATATTTCTGCATATTCCGTGAATCATCATCTGTGTTTTTGCACTTTCAAATTTTCCATAAGTACATGAAAATTCCTACACGTATCAATCCTCTAACTTTCGAGAACGAAATGTCGACAATTTTCTCCATTTAACTTAACTACGAACTCCTTCCACGCTCACAGACACGGTTTCCAGTCTCACGAATTGACTTTTATCGGAATCGTTGAACGAGATAACTCGAGTTCTAACGAAACGACATGCGAGACATCTTGTCCGAAGGCATCGCACGATTGCGTTGCAAGATATCTCGTTCGAAGCGTATCGCGAACGATATTGCATGACGAGATATTTCGTTCTCGTAGAAGCGAACGTGTTAAGAAAACGTCTATCTACTAGCAATAAAACAAAACGAGCAACCTTTCTCACAATCAGTTCTCCACGAGATAATAGCCTTGTGTCTCATGTTCGAAAAAGATCTCGATGACGACAATCTTCTCTTTTTCGTTCTGCGACACGAAATCGTGCGATCGACGCGTCGCGTATTCCAGGGAACTCAATCATAAGAGGAACGTTGATCCTGAATTATTCATGCGACAGGGCAGCAATCGAGAAGGCTTTCCAAGTGAAAATCCGAAGGTGTGAGTCATCGATGCATTCCGAATTTTCTAGCCGCGCTTTAAAGGAATTCCAACTGTCCCATAAAGATACAGCGACCCCGGGGAGGAGGGGAGGGAATAGACGACAGTTAGAATGAAATATGGCCGTGCATTTACTTAAACACGTAGGACAGCTCCAGAACGGCTTGAGAGAGAAAGTGCAACGACCTGCGCTTGGAGATGATATCACGTACCGAAAGGATGACCACCGCCAGGGCAAGTGTATATAGTTTCTTTGGTGAACCACGTAACAAAATTCGCGGAAACGAAGCCAAAGAAGCTAAAGTTCGGCGGTAATATATTACGGGAGTTGTTGCGTTGGTTTTGTTTGATTCTGTTAGATCACCGCGCGGTTAAGTGGTGAAAGATCCACTTACCGTAGACTAATAGGGATTTCGGTGAAATGGTCGCTGGCTTTTTTCCAATGGCGCATCGCTGAAGAAGTAACATACAAATTTTGACAATATCTCGTTTCGATTCTAGATAATATTGCGTGATAATATTTCTTTGATAAGTTGACAACTCGTTTTGATTCATTGAGCTTTAAATAACGTGGACCATCTGTGAGGCAGCTTCCAACTTTCGTTCAATTCCCCTTTCTTTTTTCGGAATTATTCTTATGTATCTTTATTTTATATTTTTCAAATTATGCTTGGAATTTATAGTTTGTTACTTTATTATACTTTTTATTTAGCAATTGAAGGAGGATTTTCGTCAAGATTGAATTAATAGTATAGCGTGATTCTGTAATATCTCGAGATTGCAAATCTGTGTGAAACTTACAATGATAAATACACGTTCGTTACTTTATAGTACATATGTTGCAATAACAGAGAAATAATCATTGCTATGCATTCGTAATAAAAAGTTCAACTACGCATTATCATAACCGTTGCAATGATACCTCCGGCGACGACAATATAATGGTCATTCGTGCAATAGGGAGATAAGCCTGTGAAATTACAATGGTCGTTAGCACGGAAAGGATTACCGTGACAAACGTCTGCGAGCAGATTGTTAATACACGCGTGTAATCGTTGGTGGACAGAAAATGTAGTTCTCCACTTTACTGAGAGTGTCTTGCTACTCGATTATGTCTATATCAGCGAATATGTAGCAAATGATCGCGATGGTTCGCTACGAATTCAACGGCATCCGAAAAAACGCTGATCATTCTTCAATGAGATAGAAAGCGACAAATTAGAGTTCACTCTTACTAATTTCTCCTGGTTACTTTCTAATTACTGTTTCCATCTCCCATTACTTGCACTTTACACTAAATGTACTGTAAATTAAAGTTAATGTTACGTTCGTTTTCGCTCTACTAAGTAATACGTATGTACTCGTACACAGAGTTGTAACGCGTTTTCGCAAGAAATTCTACGTTGAATTAAATGACTATCCGACGCATTATCTACGTTATTATACATACACTATCTATGTATTTATATATACAGAAGTCTGCATACATCTGTTAAATTTCAAATATTTGAAGAAGTAACATATTATGTAACACATTATTTAATGTTACGAAGCACTGAAGAAATGAAGATGTTCTTTACGTTTGTTTGATGGAAATAAAAAATTACGTAGTCTACTATACCACTGCCATGATTACGTTAAAATGTACGAAATTTTACGATAATTATAATTATCATCAAAGTAAACTTTATTTGCTTTATTCTATATATTCGTGAGTACATAATGTTTTTAAATTATCGATACTTTGGAATTTTTTTTTGCTTTAATTAATAAGTTAATTAAAACCGATAAAATGTCAAAGACATTTATTTTTTTTTTTTTTAATATTTTAAATTACATTTCTGCTCGGTATTTCGAAGCAGCATTTAATTCAATATAATTT